CCTTTCCTTTCCTTTCCTTTCCTTTCCTTTCCTTTCCTTTCCTTTCCTTTCCTTTCCTTTCCTTTCCTTTCCTTTCCTTTCCCTTTTTCTTTCTCTCTCTTCCTTCCTTCTTCCTTCCTTCCTTTGTTTTTCTTTCTTTCTTTCTTTTTCTTTGTTTTAATTTTGAGTCAGGGTCTCACTAGGTAGCCCAGGCTGGTCTTGAACTTATGATTCTCATACCTCAACCTCCCAACTACTGTAGCTGGGATTACAGATGCCACCACTGTGTCCAGCATGGTCTTTAAACAAATTTTTTTCTTACATCCTTCAACTGCCCCCTGAGGCCAGCCACATTGTGAAAGGTAATTTGCTTTACTCAGTCTGTTGACACATGTTGATTTTGCACACTCTGGTTTTCTTTCTAGATGTCTTTGGCTTTTCTATCTTTTGGTTCCTGCTATTCAGTATATCTCCTGTATTCTAAGAAAAGGAGAGTATTTGTTTCAATATATGTGTGTGGAAGACATGGTACAATGAGAAGTATGGCAGGAGATAAGGCTGCACTGGTATTTTTATACTATTTGATATTTTTAATAAAATACCAAATATTTATATAAAAATTCATTTAAAAATAAAAATGATAGACTGATGTGCTCCTGAAGAGGGAAGAAGAAGATAAAATAGAATATAAAAATCAAACTAATATGTAAGCTTAATGAAACTATAATTACAATATTGCATTTCAACTGGGTAAAATTAATTTTAAATCCATACCAAAGAATTACTGTCCAAGGAAAACCAAGATTATTTGAAAAAGAAGAGTGAGGAAGATTACCTTCTCAGTATTAAATCATATTTTTTGGGGGGAGTACCAGGAATCAAACCCAGGACCTCATGCTTGCCAGGCAGGTGCTGTGCCACATTAAACTATATTTTAAAGTTACATAATTAAGCCAATACCTTTTATATGAATCAAGAAACAGAAGAACACACTAGAACATCCTGATACTGATCCCAGTTATTTAAGAAACTTCACATATAAAAAATGCCATTTCAACTTAGTGTGAACAGGGTGGCTTATCTG